GGCCCCCCGTGCCTGCAGCCTTGAAGGGGCACCGCGGGCAGCAGCGTGGGACGGGCGGGCAGCGCCGCGGAGGAGAACGCTGTCCCTGCGCGCTGCTGTTTGGCATTTCTGGTGTCTGAGGACAAGCACACGCCGCTGCCTGGGGAAGGCCACCTTGCTTCACCCCTGCTGCTCTGGGCACGGCATAACCACACTCCATCCAGACTAGACAATCTCGTCATATCTTCCCATGGCACGCTGATCCACCGCTCCCCACAGGCAGGGTGTGAACGTGGCTTCCAGCTTACACTGGGGGAGCTGGACACTGGTGGCTTGCGAGGAGGCATCCGGCTGTGCCACGCGCTGGGCCACACGCGGGGCTGGGCCAGGGGGTGCAGGTCCAGCCCCCACGGCTGAAAGTGGCTTTTAGGGCTGCTGCTCCTCGCACAATCCCAACTGGGACCAGTCCAAGCCCCTGCCTGCAAACCCCAGGCACGGGACTCTGGAGCGGCTGCAGATGCCGAACCACCACAGCTTCGCTCCCTCCGGGGCCCGAGGACCTGGCGCAGGAGGGAGCAGGACCAGGTCTCGCCTCTGAACCGCAAGGGTCTGGAAGCACCACGTCCATGAACGGCAAGCGCGGCCCTGCCGGCTCAGGGGAGCTGACCAGTTTCAGTGTCAGAAGCAAGCAGCTATCGGGGTGTAGCACACCCCACCACGGAGGTACCCCATGCCCATCCATGCCACCCCACCACAGGGAGACGGAGGACACGCAGCGGCACGGCCCCCCCGTGGGAAGTGCTGCCCCATCTCGCCTGCCCGCAGCGGCGCAGCCCCAAGCCCTGGGACCGCTTCTGCTGACCGGAGAGACTGGAAGCGTCAGGAGGGAGAGAGGGTCTGGAGGGAGAGCCCACAGCCAGGCAGCACTGCTGCAGGGCTCCCGGGGACAGAGGCATGAGAAGTGGGGGTCTGGGGTCCCTCCCTGCCTCCAGTCCCAGCAGATTGCTGCAGGCAGGGGCTGCGCCTCTTTTGCAACAGCCCACAACTTTCCCCAGAGGTAAGAATAGTGGGGCTTTCAGGGATTCTCCAGCTGCTTCCCTCTTCCCATGGCAAAACTGTGCCCAGCT